ACAAAAAGTCCATTTGACGGAGTTGACACAGAACTGAAGGTGGTGACAAACTAGTGAGTAAAATGAAAAATATACATTGTTGTGCTCACATGACCCAGGTTAGTTTAGTCAGATATTTGAAAAAATATATAATTTGTGTATATTTTATTCAAATTTTGTGCTTTATCCATGGGACCCGTTTTGTCCCTATTCTCAAGAATCACTGGACTATTAAGTCTATAAAATAACATGCACACGATTGAGGATATGAATCAGAATCAATACTACTGATGTAAACAAAGTTGTGAATAAATGTTTCTGCAGTGACAGATGTTTGGAAACATGACTGTTTGAGGCATTGCTTTTAATCACATGCAGATTTGTTCATTACTAAGACCTATATTATATTTGACATTTTTATAATAAATTCTGATGTTTTCACTGTAATCCTGCAAAACATTCTGGAAGTTATGGAACCATCTGTCTGCAGAGTCCAGGGGTGGTACACTGTTCATGGTGAGATTTGATTGATCGATTGATCAATTGAAACAGTTAGGAGAGGGAGATAGATTGATGAAATCAATGAATGGATGGATGTTTTTCCACCTCTGTAAAATAAATCAATCACTTTGTGTAGGAAGTCTATATCACCAGTAAGTCACAGTAAAAATGAAGAATGTTTAGAGGAAGTTTAGGATTTGGTTCATGCTTCCTGACAGGATTCCATGTATTTAACTGAAACAGGAAAAAGAGGGAATTCTCTTCAGTGGATGGTTAGACCTCCCAGATCAAAACATAAGGAGGCCATTGCACTACTAAAGCTAAAGCCAAAGGGCATATGTACCAAAAATACAAGAATCTGGAACTATCCTTTTTAAACATTTTTACACCAAACATTTAACGTCACTTTACCTTTGATGTGAAAGAGACAAAAAGCTGCTCCTCAACCTCTTCAACTTTGGGCTGCTTACTCCTGTACTCGTTCCCAGCCTGACCCAACTCCAACCTGGCCAGCTTTGTTGACTTCTTTCTCTTGCAGGGCTTGGTGCTTGAGACTGGCAGGACCGGCACAGATGGCCGCGGCGGTTCCAAAACTGGCAAAGGTTGGCTGGTCACGGCAGCCGTGTCCGTGTTGGAAAACTCCACCCCGATGTCATCGTCGATGGAGAAAAAGTGCACCAGCTCTGCGATGGAAGTTGTGGGCGACAAGCCGTCTTCGTCCAGTGAAGAGAAGGTTGGAGATAGCGGGAGCTGGAGAGCAAGGGGGGACAACTCTGCGGGGAAAGGCAGAGACTGTTCGCTGTCTTGAAATGATGGAATGGAGTCTTTTGGAGTGGTCTGCGTTGAAGATATAACACTCTGTGGCTCAGGAAGACAGGACAACAAGGGCGAAGTGACCGACATTACAGGAGTCGACTGCTGCTGGGGCTGTAATGTTGTGAAAGATGGGTTTGCATATGTCCCAGACAGAGGTAACACTGTATGCCACTTAAAGACTGATGAGTTTCTGCAGTGTTGGAGGTCCGGAGTACTCGCTGCAGCAGATGTTGCAGAGTCAAGTTCTAAAGCTAATGAGGCTGGAAGAGGAGGTAAAGGTTCTGGGGAGCTCGCTGGCGACAAAGGGTCAAAGTCGAACGAGGAACACTGAGGGTCTGGAAGCAGAGAGTCGATCTTCAAGGAGCGGGAGCCTGAAGGTAGTGTGGAGGACTCTGCTGCTGCTTTGGGGGAGTCTGGGAGAGACAACGCCGTACTGAGATGCAAGGACAAATCAGGTGATCCAGAGGTAGAAGATGAGGACAGGGTGAGTGCAGACATCTCAAGCGAGTCGAATGTATTCTCAGAGTTGGATATCAATGCTTTATGGTCAGGGGTTGTCGATTCTGAGCTTAAACACTCAGAAATAGTGATGAAGGGATCTTTAGCTTTTGTATCTGGAACGGCTACATCTGAAGCAGTGAAAAGGTCTGGACCAGATGGGTGGGAGGGATTCGTTTCAGCTGCCTGTTCAGTAACATTTAAAAGCTTTTCATCTGGCAGAAGACGGTTTCCTCCACAGTCCTCCATGATGGGTTTGATGCTGGTTTCCTGATGAGGCGCTGCGGCAGGACTCGGAGAACAACAGGACTCAGGCAGAGGTGCCTGAGGAGCAGACTCCGGTGTGTTGTTTGCCTTCTTAGATTTTGTTGAATGTTGCTTTAAAAAAAGTGCAAGTGCTGGTAGGGGCAGTCGAGCTGGTCGTTTCTGTTGCTTCACACCATCCAACTCGGCACCTACGTTACATTGTTGGTGTGATTTGTTCAAGGAGCCCTCCTCTTCTATAGGAGAAGCAGAGGAGCAAACTGTTCTGACATCGGCAATAGAGTTAGAGTTAGACAGATGTTCGTTGTCTTTGATATTTCTGTTTTTTTCAACAGTTGAACTTTTCCTGGTGAATGTAGCGACAGATCCGTTTTTCTTATGAGCAATATCCGGTTTAGTTAGTCTGTCTGTCAAAGTTGTGGACGTAGTGTTGCCTTGTGCTGCTCCGGAGGAGTTGCTGTTGTTGCTGCAAAGTTGCTCTTTGTGACATCTCTGCAGTGAGACATGAGCCTCACAAATTAGCTCAGAAATTAACTTCGGAACTGGACGTGAACTGCTGCTGAAGGAAACCAGAAAGAAATTACACATTAGTGACACCGGCACACTTTATTGTTAAATATTTACTGATGCTACTTGTGTCAATTTGCTCAAACTGGCACTGGATAAGTATACTTCCATTTTGCTACACAACTGACAACAAAAAGTGAGGTAAAGAAACATTTAAAAGCATTCAGTAGAAAAAATCACAACTTTAATTGTTTGTTTGGAGCCACTTGCGCCCCTAATAGAATCCCTAGCATTGTAGTTGTTTAGTTTCTGTAAAGGCATAGTTCAAAAAGATTCAGAATTCATATCTTTATCTTCAACAGTGACACACCAATCAGTAACTGGACCTAAATCTGCTAATTTCTGGTGGAGGGATGCTGAGTATCTGAGTATATTGACAATGCTGGTTACATTCAACTGTTTAAAAAGCAGGTGTGTTGGGGGGGAAAAACCAAAGTCAGTCAAAATTGGAATAGACAGGTCACGCCTCAAAGAAATACAGAAATTAGTACTGAATGGCGGACTGTTATAAAGTAGAGATAAATAATTAACTGTTTACTATCTGTCAATGCATCATTAACTGAATTTGAGTGTGCTGTAGTATAATTGTGATTAAACTGAATCATAGTGGGCATGAAATGGCTCAAATTTATTATAATATTTCTACACAAAAGAATATGCATTTGTTTTTCTAAATTGCTTTGAATTTACATTTATTGTAAATTGGTGCAATATAAATACATTGAATTAAATCTATTTTAGTATTTCCAGCATGGTGACTGTATTGCCAATAAATGTCATTAATGTGCTGTAAAAGCAGTTCCAAGAGTTAGTAAGTTAGTTCTCAGCACAGCTCCCAGTTTTAGACCAGCCGGCAGGCACCCTGTCTACTTTGACTATGCTTAATACTTTCCATTTTGATAAAACTTAATATCAGACTGTTTTTAGGTTATCCTGACCTATCTCTGTAACTATACTGGTATTGGCTAAGGGTCAGACAGCAGGACTTTTAAACTATCTGCCAATTTTCAAAATGTGAGGGCCCCTCCCTTTCCCCCCCCCCCCCCCCCCCCCCCCCCACACACACACACACACACACACACACACACACACACACACACACACACACACACACACACACGACCAAATCTGAGGTGTAGCAGGTTTGATCCTACGGTGTGTGGTGTCAGTATGTGATGTGTTGCAAATTTAATTTACGAACCTCTCACTATCAAACATGAGTTTGATCATGGCCATGTTTGTTCAGAGTAAACAAACATGGCCAACAGGAAAGAGGCAAAGACATAGTTTGATTATTTTTAACAGAGAAAAAAAACCCGAACAAGACTGCGCCATCCACCAACAGAATGGAGTTATGAAAATAAATGAACATTGCAATAATATTATCCTTTATTTTATTATTTATGAATGTAAAAAAAGCTATTGAATATCTATTAATAACAACCTGTTAAACAATAGTACCAAAAAAGGTAAAATGAAGATAAGGAAAACAAATGTATTATGCATCAGTTGAAAATACACATTTTCATTTTTAAAACCTACTCATGATACCCTTAATATGTCCGACACACATTAATATGCGAAGTAAAAGTTCTTGTGCTAGAATAGTTAATAAATGAATGTAAAGGTACCTGCAGTGTCAGTACAAGTTGATGCATTATACAAGACAAACTGAAAAAAATTTTAAGAAAAAAAAAAACCCATTTTAAATCATTACAATTATTGTTGCATGGGTATTAAAATATATATTTTATAAGCAGGAATGTTTTATTTAATGATCTTTCATTTAAATTTTAAAACTAGGGTTTACTTTTAAATAGAAGTAATATACAGTTATATTTAAAAAATGCAGGTAGGTGATTTAAAGCAATGTTAGGTTGGTTTCACAAAGCTTTAGAGAATGCTTTTTTACTAAAAACCAAGGCAACAACGGGACAAATGTCAGTACTTATTAACTGACAGTTCCATTCTACAGGACGAAAGGTCTTCTCAAGAAACAGAATCCATTTTGGTATGTTATCAGAGGGACTTTATAAAATGCTGAGAACCACCAGATATCAAAGAGAAAACATTTTAGAAAGCCAGACTGATTTGCGAGAGTCGTTTCTGAGATAACATTTGCCATTCATTCTATACAAAATACCAGCCAAGTCCTTAGGGGTTTGAGTGTCTGTGGAAACAGAGACTTACTGAAGAACGCTGCCTTAATGACATCTTTACTTGGACCTAAAGACTTCTTGCAGTTGCAAATGGCATATTTGGCAAAAAGGTAGCAAAATATTTTTCACATTGAACTGTCAGGACTTACCTGGGACTTTCCACTGGAGTGGTGGCGGCTGGCTGGGTGTTGCTCATTGTGGATTTTTCCTGAGGCTCTTTTGGAGGTGGAAGTTTCACGTCCAATGCTTTTGAATTTCTGGGTTTGTGATTCGCTAACAAAATCTTTAAGCTCTTCTTCACGGGATGCTGCTCAGTGTTCGTCTTACCTTCGTAACTATTCGAATCTTTGCCTGCGTTTCCTTTGAGTCTTAAGCCACATGTATTGACCCGGTCCTCCTTCAGTTTTTTAACAAACGGATTGTAGTTCACCTTCAGTTGGGTAAACTGGGGGTTTTGGTATGTGGTGACTGTTATAAACTCAGTCTGGGGGAAAGTGAAAGTGAGAACATTGGGACCGTTCAGTCTAAAGTCTTCTATGGCTTTGTCTGCCTGGACCACATGCAGTTGCGGTAAATAGCGGTGCATCGGATGCAGGATAATGTTCCCCTCCTGGTCTGAGGTGTTGTTTGTGAGTTTCAGTCTGTAAAAGGACACTGGACTCTGCATCCAGTGCTGACCTGTTGCTGGGGAGTCTGGATGAACGAAAGGCTTACTCCTCACGTGACGCTCTGCTTTTCGGCAAACTTGCCAGCTCTCACCCGTCCACCTGTACTGACTGTTGTCTAAAGGCTCAACGTCCATGACCAGTGAGTACTTCCTCGATGACTGCAAGCCAGTTACACGGAAGCGGCAATAAGGGAACATTCTGCTGCCTTGCTTGGTCAGAATCATTTCTGTTCTACATTTATAGAACTCATTCCACATGACGTTGTTGTCTAGTGTCACTTTGACATCTTTACAGACACAGTCAGGTGACAGGACATCAGAAGGAGAGTTTATACAGGCGGGATGCTTGAGTTCACCCATCTTCATGATGGCCTCCTTGGCTGGGTACATCTTGTGTTTCCCGCTAATATTTGCTTCACCAGTGGACACACAGACGCCCTGGACAGTCCCACTGCTTTGCACCTTTCCTGCTCTCACAGCGACAAGGCATGCAGATGAATGATCAGCCATTGGAGCTGCTGCAGGGGCAGTCGCCCCTTCCTTCAGGATCACCATACCTTGACGAGTCTTCGAAGAGGCCATGAACCGACCCCTGAAGGATCCCACTTCTCGGCATAATATTTCAAGATGGCATCCTGAAAAACAAGATCCATACTGTGTCAGTACAGCTGGACATTTCATGTGAGATTTTGAACACAGCAAACTGATATTTCAACTCTTAGATGTGCAGCTTAGAGCAGTAGTGTAAACGATGAACTGTACCTTAAGTCTTTATCTAAACATAGTTGGACCATACATTTTCCTGATCCTAAAAAGTCTCCCTAAAAACTCTGAGACACCCCACTCAACACTGCACAGTTGAGAAGAACCGATCAGAACTTTGTAGCTCATTTCCATCCTAACGTTAGCTGATTTGGATCTCTCTTGAATGACTGTAATATAAGATGAAGATAGAACAAAATTCAAATAATGTTTTTCATTCTCTGTTGTTAGTTCCTTATTCCCAATATGATAAATTATTACGCTACTATGGCAGCTGCCACTGTAAATCAGAATATCACTACTGTTTTAAATGAGCAATTAAATTCTAAATATACTTATTATATTAGCATATAATATTCTATATTATATGTTACTGGCATTTAACAATAAGTTACATATTTTATGAAAGACAATGAAAGCCATTATCTGTGGAAGGTCTTGCTCTCTCTCGCTCTCTGGCAGCCTAAACAAGCTACACATATCACAGAGAATACAGTTTCCTTTTAAACAGAGCTGGGCAATAAACCAATTTTATCAATTAATCAAACTTTCTGTTTATGATTATTTCATTTTTGGAGAAAAAGAATCTGGATTTTTTTCCCCCTCCATTTCATTCCTTGGGGTTCCATTGTTCAGAGTGACATCAGCTCAGCCTGGGCCTACCATCTTGCTTTACGGCTTGTATACATTTGGACTTTGAATTCAGGTCAGAGACTGAATCCAGATTTTGAAAATATTTTCTGTCAGTTGTAATTTCTTTTTAAGAAAATTAGAAGAAAAAAAATAAAATCAGAAATTGGTTTTGGTATGAACCCTCCCCCCCAGAAATTTTATTTTAAGCTATTTTGTCCAGCCCTACTTTTATACAACCTGAAAAAAACAGGTTTCTTATATTCCAACCTGGAATGTGGCTCATCAGGATGCGTTTATGGGCAGTGGGAAACGGGTTTCCCTCTTAAAATAGTCGTAATGTGACATCAGTCTAAAAAAACCAACTCATTCACTGTTGGACACCAAGCCAATTTTGTTGATTTATGATTTTTTTCTATGCACAACAGTAATGTGAGTGTGTAAACTGCCCCTGCAGTTTATGAAGTCAGACGGTTTTTTTTACGTAAAATTATAATCTGGCTGCACAGTTAAAACCATGACAACAGACACACCCCACAGTCAGCTAAGTGAACATTACACACATGTTTTGATGCACACACAGATTCCTAACTTCCATCTCCATCCAGAAACCCAAGGCACAGGTTTGGTTGTTAATTTAATATTTTATATGTAATTGTAGAACTGAAATAAAGCTTAAACAAATAATATTGCATGTGTTGTAGTTTTTAGGGGAAAAAACCCCCAAACATATTGTCCAGAAAAACTATTAGTAAACTGGTCACTGCTTGTAAAACCCACCATTGCACATCTAATTACAGTTGTATGAATACATTTATTAGCATTTCCTATTGGACGTTAGTAACACATAGTACTGTGTTATTGTTGACTGTGTGTTCTATGACTTTGTATTTTAGTTTTTATGAAGTAAAGCACTTTGAAATGCCTTATTGCTGGAAAGTGCTATACAAATAAAATTTGGTTGATTGATTGATTGATAATGTATGATAGCAAGTGTTTGAAGGTTTAAAATCCTAAAATATTAGCAGCACTCTTCCCAATTAGTCAAACTTGTAATTTCAACATGGCTGTGTTGGTGAGAAGGCATTCCAGCTGCACTTCATTTCCCGGTTCTACAGTCATTTTCAATTAATTACACTCTCATTTGTTTATTTTGAAAATTAAGCAGACATTAAGCAGACATAAAACTAATTTTTAAGACCACATTTTTCTATTAAAACTTATTTTTATTGATTTGATGTAATACTTTATTCTTAAATGTCATGTTTTCATTATCTGGAAGCAGAAAATCATCATAAGTAACAAAAAAAGCTGAGTTATTGTATTTAACATATTTGACTTGGTAAATTTAGATAATGAAAAAATTAACTTTTCAATAATGAATACGTCTGTACATGCAATATTAGAAAGCAGAAGTTCAGTTTTGTCTCCACTGCTGAAACAGTGGCTGAATTCAGCTTTCAGCCAGCACTCTGTCGTGTTGTATGGAAAAGAGCAGTGAAAAAAATCAGGTTCTACATCCACCATATATGACGAATGCCTTATTTAAATAAAAAAAACCATAGCCGACCTTCTGATGACATATATTAATTAGAGGAGTTTAAAGTTGTACAATATGTGGTCATAACTAGCAGAATATCACAACTGTTTAAATTGGCCGAGATTCAAGGAGCATTGCATTTAAACGCTACTTGCAAATACAATATTGTTTGAAAGACTTCATTTTATTCCCTCAACTGATATGAATCATAGTGACCAAGATGCTAATATTCAGGGAGAGTGGAGATGGAAAAGAAAGAAAGTTGAAGAAAATGTGGGATAGCCAGAAATAAATGTCATGACACATTAACAAGAGCGTCACAATATCGGTAGAAATACAGAACACACCTTAGTAAATTGTCCGAAAAACAATAATTATTCCAACTATTTTTACTTAAGCAAAATTGTAAACAAACCACTAAATATGATGGTTTGAGACATTGTGAGGATATTTATTATCTCTTCTTATCATTCTGTTCTTTAAATAGTAACAACTATAACAAGCTGTTATAGGTTGGTTAATAAGTCAAGGTATGTGCTTACAGTTGCCATCAAACTTTCGAACATATTTGCCATCAAACTTTCCTAAAACTTGAAGTTTGCCAAATAGATTTCCAATTGAAGGAGTAATACCCAAAAGCCAAATTTAACTAAAAGCAACTTTAGCCGGTTCCCAGCTAGCTGATCAGCAGCGCACAGCAACAGCCTTGCCCCCACCCCCGACAGGGGCACTATGATCTAAACATATTTAGAAAACTGGCCACTCCAGGTGTCCTATTAATAGAACCTTAAACTGGATGGTATATCTCGCTTTTCACAACATTGGAATATCTTAACATCAAGAATCAGTCAAGATCACAGAAAGTTATTGTATGTCATTGGCTTTTAAAGTAGAAGGAAACTTTCCTCAATAGCCTTCTGTTGAAAGCTGCAACTTTTGGGCACAGTTAATAAAATGTCAAACAATCCTGGTTGGGGCTGCATTGTACTGCAGTTATCACTGTTGCTGTGCAGTATGTCGATCCTGGGTTCAAACCCAAATCAGAATCTTTATGTGTTGACTTTGCATTTTCTCCATATGCATTTGTGGTTTCTCTCCAGGTATTACAGCTTCCACCCACAGTCCAAAGAGCTGTATAGTAGGTTAACTTGCTTCTTGTTTAATTTTCTTGACATTACGAGTAAGCCACTAAGTGTAACCTTGGTTGTTTGTCCTGTGATGGACTGGTGATCTGAACCCCCCACTTGCTGGAGATATGCACCAATCCCCAAGGAACAATCGGGGATACAAAACTGGATTGTATGAAACACATCAGGAAGCTTAAATATTGGTATGATTCAGGTACTCTGTCAAATTCTGGAGAACTTCAAACAAAATAGCGGTTAGCCATGGTTAGCTTCTCAGTCTTCTACCTTAGATGTTGATTTAAGATTATGAACTTGATTTCTTTTGGGAAGGTTTGTCATTAAAAGAGACTAAACATATCAACATTTAAGAAAAACCAAGAAGGTAACCTTTAACATATTTTGTGGTTCTTCCATATTGGAATCAATGCTAACAGCTACTAGCTGTTCTTTTGTTTGACTAAGGACAATGATTTAAAGATTAGTCCTTCACAATCAAATGAATAACCTAGGAGACTTGGTCAAATGTATGCTAAGTCTAAAACCCATTCTGCTAAGACACGTGTAAACTATTAACTATTCTGTTGATTATGTTTCAGATTTAAAAGCTGCCATTATCCAGTGACTGCAAAATGGTGAAGAATGCAGTTGATAAAAAGAGTCAAATGAATTGCTGTGTATGTTAGTAAGATTGTCATTATTCTGTGCTCTCAGTAGGTCGGATAGTAAATATATCACTGTGCTGTTAAGCCAGAAATACCTAGCTAGCTGCAGGCCATAGTCACAGCCCAGTAATGGCTGCCCACCAAACATCAAACATATCCCAGCACGTGCTCTTCTATGTGCACGCACATTACCTTCTGCCTATAGGAACACACGGAGTGTGTCCTGATGCCACATCAAATCCGTCCTTGTCGTCGATAACTCCATCGGTCTGGCGTGCACATGAGGACCATTCACTGTTCAAAAAAAAAAAAAAACATAACACGCTTTTTTTTTTTTGTTACGTCACCAACATCACCGTCCTCTTCTTCCGGAACTGCGCAGACTCAGACGCCATCTTACAAAAGCCACCTGGGTGAAACGTGTTCGTGCTACGCAAACAACGGAGAAGTACAGGATTTGACGCTGGATACCCACAGGAAGAGACCCCAGGGCGGTTCTGCTCTCCTTCTGACGCCTTCCTCTCGGGGTTCACATGTCACTAGCTACTCGAGGCTCGAGGGTGAGCTCTCTCAAATCAGTACGAGCAGGCATCTGGATCCATATTTTCTTCTGTGAACAGAAGTAAAGCTTAAAGAAATTGCGACGGAAGCATCACTCATCTGGATTGTAACGGGTTATTTGTTCATATTATAGTGCTTTCTTTATTGTTTCCGTGGTTTGATATTTGACAGTTCTTTTAACAGTAGGTTGTGTGAACACATTTAATTTAATAGTCTTCGTCTTTGAGATGTGGGCATCTCCTCGGTCTGTTGATGTTCTGTATTTAATATGTTGTCTGAGTCTTGTGGTTAGCCTCCGCCATGTTGTTTGCGCCGGGTTTAAACACCGTCATCCCGTCATGGCGGCCGCAGATGGAGATTAGGAGCATGGGGGGGGGGCAGTTATTTGCCTCGACTCTGTTATCTCCCTTACAGACCCGAACCGGACAAATGGACCGTGAAGGATGGAACCAAGAAGACCGCATAGCTGCTTGCAAATCACACTGCATGTTAAAGAATCATATATTTTGATAACAACTGTGTTTGTGTGTATATTGAAGATATTCAAGATGGGATGTCGAAGCTTGCCGTATGGGCGTGGTCTGTTGGCCAGAACCCTTCGACATCAGTTTGATTGTACTGTAGTTGGGAGGGGGAGACACTTAGCCACGGGGGGCGCTGTTGTAGAGGATAGCAATGCTCACAAATTACGCTGGTAAGTTATAGTCTGATGTATTCTTTTGTGTCGTACGAACGTGAACTGCACGCGAGATGTTGTGCCACCTTAAACAGCGAGAGAGCTCTTTGACATGGAGCTGTATTTGGTTCATGTCTTTACATTAGGTAACTGGTGATATAATTAACAGATATTAACATATAATTAACAGCTAAAATGAAAGATATGACTCACCATCTTCCCCCCACGTTAGTAGACAATTGAATTAATTGACTGTGTGTTAATTTACAAGTTGGAAGTCCTTTCTCCCATTTTTATTGTTTAATCTTTCTTGATCTAAAAAGTCTGGAATGGAATGAAGCTGCTTGCCACGAAATGTTTCATACTGCCCATAAACTTGGCTAAGCCTAACCAGCTTCAACAAATGACTTAAGGTATTTTTTTGACCATGTTTGTTTTGATCTGAGCAAGCATCACATTCTATCAATACATAATTCAAATTTAAATATCTGGGGATGCACAGATGTGAAAATTTGGGCCAATATCTGAAAATATTGCTGCTACGACCAATAACCAAACAAAAAAACACGATGAGAAAACAACCACATTAGCTGTGTTTCCAATACACCTGTGTGCAAAACGTTGTCAATATTCCGCTAATGCTGAAAAAAACAATTTGACAATGTTTCCATTGAATAAGAAACACAAAATCACACGTGAAAAAGTTTGTTCATGCGCTAAGTCGTCATAAAACGTGCTGTAGCACAGTCCTTCAACTACTTCCTGTTGTCTTCTTTGTGGTTTGTTCTAGTGGCACCATCCAGTTGTTGAGCCTGTGACTCGTAATGTGAAAAATAGTGTTTGCTTAAATGTTTTCATTGCAGTTTTGTGAAATAAACCAATTTTTATTCGGCCAGTCATTATAGTGCCAAAACTAATTAAAGAATGAGTTTTGTCAAAGTCATTTTTGAAATGTCAAACTGCACAAGTAAGTGGTTGGTGTAAACACAACTATTGCTTCTTTCTTCAGTTAAACACAATTCAATCCTGCACTGCATCACTATTGATGTCACACGACTAAGATGGAAATCAGTTCATATCAGCACAGTTTTACTTATGGACCAATACCGATATTTTTTTTAAATAGAACCCACAAACATCGGCTGACACTAATATATCATGCATCCTGTGAAATAATTAAAATTCTCAAAATTTGATTAAAACATAAATTTGATTTGAAAATTTTTATAACTTCTCTCATAATTCGCTGAAATGTTGAACCAGCAAAAATGACCATGTTTAAGTATGAGATGGTTTGTGCAAGAGGAAAAAGTAAATGTTGAGGTACGAAGGAACTAATTGATCCAGATCCACTTGGCATCGATCTGGATTTTTTTTTGTTTCCCCTGCTTATTCCATTTACCTCTGTTTTTTTAAAGACATTAAAGGTGTCTATAAATACAAATCTGCTTGCATTCTTTAATTAGATTTTAAACCATAAACCAGGCTAGTTTCTGGATCAATATTTGATCCAGAAAACACAAACAGCTGAATGCTTGTATTTTTTTAGTTTCACTGTGCTGATCCTGTTTTATTTAATCCTGTTTTAACAAGGAATTGATTTTCAAGATCTCATTGTCATTCAAGTCCAGTTAAAATGACTTAGGTCCTGAGCTCAACTGCTATCCTTAACACAGTAATGGGAACAACTATGTGTTTAAAAAAACACATACTTGCACATAGAATACAGTTAAGCAGTTGATTTCTGTTTCTCAACATTTCTTGTCATAAATTTATAGCTCCAGTTTTCCTCTGGACAACAGCGTCTAAGTTCAGCATGGAAAGGCTCCAGGCAGGATTTAAACCTGGGATCTTGTGCTTGTGAGATCATGGTTCCAAGGAGTAATACGCATGTTCTTTGAGCCGTCCTCTTTCTCTGTTTTCAGATCAAAATATAATAAAATGGGAGCATTAATGGTCTGAATTCTTCATTTTAAAAGTAATAAAACACCAAACTCGTCCAGCACCAGATGTAATCATATAACCTGACCGACACGTCTTCCAGAATGTTACACTTTTGCCCCATCAGTCCAAACAATATTTTCTCTAAAGTTTTGTGGGCCATGAATTTTTTTTTTTTTTTTTGGTAAACGAGAGGCCTGTCTGTTTTTTTTTTTTTCTCTTTACCAGCTGCGGGTCTGGCTTTGGGCCCTCCCTTGGAGGCCATTTTGTCCAGTGTCTCTTGTTGATTAATCATTAACTCAGAACTTAACTTAGACAGGTGAGGCCTGCAGAACTTTAGAAGATCTTCTGGGTTATTGATTTAGTTTCCTTTTAAATGTCATCTATGCCAAACGATTTGTCTATATGTAATGTCTGTACACAAAGAGCATGTAAAATTAAAGTCAAATTTCTTATTCCTTGTTTCTACGGAACCTTGGCCAATAAAGCTGATTCTGATGTGCAAACCAATCAGATTGAAGCCATCCTTTGAACTGGCTAGCTGTGTGTTTTGCATCAACCACATAAATTAAACTCTTGTAATACTTTTTGGAGACCTGCCATTTCTGGGAAGAAGTTCCAAAGCCTTAGGAACAGTTTTCTTACTTTTTGAAAACTGATGGCAGTAGAGCTGTTTACCATTTGCTTTGAATTTCTTTAGTTTGAATCAGTCGTGTTGGTTTTCCAACTCTTTGAGCCTACCTTGTGTTGTCAGTTCGGTTCTTGTTCAGTGATTTCTTGATTCTACAAGTCTTATCAATAATCAAACCTGAATGTGGCCTCTGAAAATTAACTTTAAAAATATGGTTAATTACAGTGTATTCATAATTTAATAAAGTAGATCAACTTTTCCCAGAAGACCAGCTTGGTTTGGACGTCTCCCTTAAATGAAATAATTTTGTACATATTTAGATTTTACTTTTCTGATAATGGCCCTGCGACGGACTGGCGACTTGTCCAGGGTGTACCCCACCACTCGCCCCAAATGTCTGGCACCCCTCCTGACCCACTAGGGACAAAGGTGTAAGAAAATGGATGGGATAGGATGAATGGTCTGATAATGGCCTGAAACGTGACCAAAAGGTTAAAACAGAAATCTGTAAGGAGGCAAATTGTTCTTACAGCACTAAGCATATTAAAGTGAAAATGGGTAAAACTGACAGTTAAAATAACAAACTTCACCAGTAATGCTCACAATTATAAGGGTGTTCTATTAAAATGACACTCGCACATTGAGATGCAGCTTCCAATGTCCCTGGAAAGTCCAGCCAATAAAGGACACTACCTTTTATATATAGGCTGTTTCAGAATAGACCTTAGCTTTTGTGTTTGAAAAACTGTATTTTCCAGTTTTATTGATGTCACTTTTAATCAAGCTTTAATGAAAAAATTTGAAGGTTTTTCTGGCTCTGGTGGCCTTTATTTGCAGCAAATAAGACAGAAAATAGGAAATAGATAAAGAGCAAGTAAGGTCCCAGACTCAGGAACTGAATGCATCAAGGACTTATAGATGCCATAAATGGGCAGCTTCTCTACTTCAACACCATCACCATCCCAGTATGAAAATATATTTCAAGTTGATAATGATGTACACCCTTTTTCACTTCCAAGTTTATCGTGTTCTTTCTAATGAGCACAACAGCTATTGAAATACATCCTAAAAAATCTAAAAAGAATTACAATATTGCAGCATAAATTACACTGGTCAACAGCCAAAAAATAGTCTGGGGGTTTCCAACTCTTTTAGAGTCATGTTGATGAGCTGAATCCAAAAATCACTTTGGTTTTGCTCAATCAGGTCAACTTTCTGAACTATGGAGCAACATGAGTATCAAAATGCATGACTTGTTCTGACATCTGGATCAATTTCCTGAGAATCTGATCAATGATTGATGAGTAGGAGGAGAGATTCCATCAGAGCAGAAAAGAGACAGAGAATTTTACACAATGTTCAGTTTATATGTACTTACCCTTATTAGTGTCTATTATTCAATTTATAGAAATCCCAGTTTGTAACATTTAATTAATACACTCTGTTAGAAAACTTATTTGTCTTAAAATCTTTTTTGGATGAGAAATATGAATGGAAATGAACTGATAATGTCACTAAAATGTAATTTAGTCAGAAGATCAGATTTCTCTAAATGAATTTAGAATAAAAACTTGACCTGACTGAGAAAAATCAATGTCATTTTGGGATTTAGTTGTGCAAAATAATCCTAATTCAGCTGAAAAAACATAGACAATGTCAAATAAATATTTTTTGTAACCCAGTGTAATTAATATAAAAGTACCAAACAGAGTTCAATGTTTTGCTCTTGGTGATTCTTGGGTCATTTGAGTCTTTATTCTTTATCCTATTGAAAGACCCCATGACCTGTGACTGAGGTCAGGCTTTCTGACAAAGCAGCACATTTCTGTCCAGAATACCCAGAGTCTTGAGATTTCATCATACCCCACATCGAGACGCCCTGCACCAGTTGTAGCACAGCAGCCCCAGAATATAACCGAGCCTCCTCCATGTTTCATTTTTCAAGAAATTAACCAAGTATTCATTTCTTGGTATGGTTCAGTGTTGCATCAGTAAACAAAGAACTGACACGCTTTGACAAAAAGCCCCAGTTCTGTCTCATCTGTCTGAAGGACATTCTCCTAATGACCATCATCTCCTTGGCTTCCTGTGGCCCGTGTTCAGTGTGGTACACAACATGTACATTTTTATAAAGAGTTTCCCATATTCTGCTTTGAGGCATTTTTAAATTTTCTGTCATTGTCATTTTTAAATTATATAAAATCATTGGCCAAGGCTGATAAATGTATATTTCACCCTAAAGGAAGACTGATGTCTTCTATTTATATGTTTGTATACATAGGTATTTAAATGTACTAAAATTAAAGTTTCAAAACTGCTAAAACCAGGGATACACGATATAGCTACATTAACATCGTATCGGCCGATGTAGCATATCGATATGGGTACGATAAGTAGTATTGTGTAGATATTAATTACCAGTATTCATTTCCATCCTATTGTAATAAGTAGGTTTTGGCATGGTGTTACGTGGATTGGAGGGTGTTTAACTGAACCAGAGAAGCAATATCAGTGGTGTGGTTGTTTATTCTTGATGTCAAAAGGGCAGGGAAATATAAATATCAGCTGTAACAGCAATATCAATATTGGATATCAATATCAGCCCAAATTTTCCCATCGGTGCATCCCTTGCTAAAACTTTGCCACAACACCTTTACAGATATACGTCTCCCAAAGAAACTGGGTTGTCTTATGGTCTAGCTGGTACATTAAGTCGTACTCGATACCAACAGTTCCTTCACCAACTCACCAGGACACAGCAGGCGTCTGCCCATCGCTACCATCTGGCCACATACAAGACCAAAATGTGCTTCAGTGAGACAAAATACAGTGGCGGAGTGAACAGAAATGACTTCAGATTTTTGAAGCATAAAGTAACCCCATGCTCCCACTCTCTCCCACCATTTGCTGCACACTGCAGGTCAGCTGGTTGAAAGAATGGTCTTTTCCCTGGCTTAAAAATAAGACAAATTTGGCTTTTAACAAGACTTACGATATATGCATCGGAACGGCAAAAAGGAGCAATGCATTTTGCAAAAAACGTTTTTAAAAACTTTGGTAATTCTATTTGAAGGGGTGTGCATAAGACTGTCATAATGTCATAAACACGACATATCACCTGTTATGAACATGGAGTCTTTATGAATGTTTATGGTTGTTGTCATGAAGTGTCTTTTGGTAAATAATGACACCTTTAGTCCAAAGTTTACACTTTTAATGCAACTTTTAGTACATCGCTTTAAAAGTGTCATTTACCGAATGACACTTGACAACAAACATTCATAAAGGCTCCTTCATGTTCATAACAGATGCTGTCATGTTTATGACAGCACTATGCCAGTCTTCTGCACACTTCAAATAAAGCGTTACCAAAACCTTTCTACTTTAAAACCTTCACCCGAATTTAATGTGCATGCATGAAAGTTAAAACAATCAATATTTTAAGTGTAATAAATGTAAAGATGACTTTTGCTGCAGTCGTCATACTGCTTTCAATTTTTGGTTGTATATTTCAAATAAAAGATGAAGTGTGTGAATGTTTTGTGTGAATACTGTGATAACATGATTTGTAGTCATTTTATTTATGGATGTCTTAGTGTTAAGGGACACTTATCATTTCACACCTACAGTCCAGTACTGATGTAAGGGTTTACATCGTTAGTCTTCCTCAGACACCAGAGCCACCAGTAACACTTTATTTTTTACAAGTTCAGCCCACCTCAGTATTCCCCACAGATCTGAAGTCAGTGATTTACAGAAAGGTTAAGAAAAGGTAGTTGAACCCTCACAATGCAGCAACCAGCACATCATTAGGAAAACCTAAAGCTGCTACAGTTGAAGCCAGAAGTTTACATGCACCAAATAAAATCACACATTTTCTTCTCTCACTGTGTGAAGTTTAATCAGACTGACCTTCTTTTGCTTTAGGTCAGTTAGAATTACCAAAATTATTTCTAACTACTAAATGCCACAATAACAGGAGAATGAAACAGATTTATTTATTTATATCTTTGAAATCAGATGATTATCTCTTCAAACAAGGGGAAGCCCAGATGATGATGATGATGTCATGACCTTGGAAACTTTATTTGGAGGAAATAAAGGCCGACACTTGGAAGCCTCACCGTTCTAACTGATGTATGGGGGAGGCAGCATCATGTGGTGGGGCCGTTTTGATGAAGGAGGAACTGGTGGCATTATGAATAAAGAACATGATGTAGAAACCTTAAAGACATCAGCCAGGAAGCCAAAGCTGGCTTAACGACGACAAAGTCAATGTTTTGGTGTGACCATCAGAACTCCAGTAAACTACTGTGAGAAACCTAAGGGGTTTGACCCAAGTCATACACTTCAAAATACAAGTATGTAAACTTCTGAATATGAAGAAAATTACAAAATAATCTCTAAAACCATTTTCCTCACTTTGTTTACTGGTAATTATCAAGTAGAAATGCGGTGATTCTGATAAAGCTAAAACAAGAGAAGTTGGATCAGATTTAACTTCAGACAGTGAGAAAATGAAAAATGTGTCTTTTTATTCATTTATGTAAACTCCTGGTTTCAATGTAAGTGTTCAGTTCACCATGATCAGCAGACTGCACACACTTCAGGTTAAACACACGTCTAAAGCCATTTCACATGTGCTACATCATGTCCCAGAGGGGCTAATAAAGTCAACACCAACGTATTAACATTAGTATGTTAAATAGAGCAGCACATTTTCACCAAGGCAACAGCTGCTGGTTCATCTGCTGAGGCTTTGACTACCTGACCAAAGCAGTTTAGTTCCCAGGACAAAAGGTCTGATTTGGGAGCTTTTGAATGCAAATAAGTTGATTTACAAGATGCTAACAGCTAGCTAGAGAGTTGTGATTATTGTGAAATAACCTGTTTGAGAAACAAAAACTATTAGTTTTAAAGTGGCATGTCAGACCTTCACTGCCTTCTGCTACACAATAAAAGCTTACCCAGAGTTCTTAGAGCTGCCATAATTAAATAGCTTTACTGACAACTCATTGAAAAACAGTGTGACTGTCAGAAATGTTATCAATAAAATCATTAAAAGTTGTTTCTACCTACAACATTATCGCTCTTCACCTGTTGCTGACACTGAGGCATGTTTTACGCCTGCCTGTTAAAGTTCTGCATGTCTAACTGGGCCGTCCCTTCTGACTGCTGAGTTATCACTGACTATGCATTTAATACCATCTCTCTCATTGCCTGGGTCCTGCAGTGTGTCACCACAGCAGCAGCTGTTGCCTCGTACTCCAGCCTGATTAGCTGGTACACTGGTTATCAAAGAAGACTATAAAAAACATGCTGATGCTTGCCATTTCCTCAGCTTGTTTGCTTGTTGATGAGGAAGCTCAGGTGCAGAGCTGTGCAGCCTCCCCGTATGTCCACCTGTTCCAAGCCTCTCCTCCAGTAACCATATTCTCCCAGTGGAAACAAACCGGTTTGTGTAGAAAGTCTTCCACACTGGGCAAGTCATGTTTTTACAGCAGGCAGCTCCTTCAGCATGACGAACCCTGTGTCTTCTGCAGAGGATTTGCTTTGATCATTCCAAGGAGTTGGTTAATCACCAGCGGAGATGATCTCAGCTCCCATCAGATTATTCTGACTTCACTTTTGTAGATGAACTCCAAACTGTTTTCAATACCCGACTACGTCTCACCCAAATGCAGAATCCTGGCACAACGCATCTTCACAGTTCTTAAGAAAAAAGAGCAAGTTTCATAATGTCGCCAATAAAGAAGCTAAAATCATTTTCAATTATTGTGTAACATGGAGCAAAACCACAGGGAAAAGTCCAAACGTTTACCATCAGTATCACAGTTAACCAGTGACAGTTACCCTCCACAGATCCACAGATCAATGGTTCTGTGGCCGATTTCTGCTCTGGAGTTTTGACACACTGATCCCGATTTCAATCATTTCCAAATTGCTGTTGTAGCACTTTTCTTATCCTCCCTGTCATCACAAGTCATTATTTAAATTAGCCGAGTTGGCATCGAGCTGTAACATTTTTAACTGTCTTTAGCAACTTGGATTAGGAATTAGCACCAGTTATCGTAGTCATGTACGGAATATTCTAGAGAAGTCCAGAGAAAACTCTACAACAGACACTAAAAACTCAAAAAGATGAACGGAAACCATTTGCTTGTTCTCTGTTCAACCGGTCTGCTGAACATCTCCCTCTGAATTGTAAAAAACACTGTTTCCTTTTAAGTAGCTTCTTCCACCTCTTTGCTTCCTCACTCCTCACAGAGACTGAAATCGGCTTATTTTGTGTTCTTACCACAAGTAACAGCCTCCACGTCGTGGTGCATTTACTGAACCTAAAAATATCCAGTTTTTTAGCCAGCCACTGGTCAGATGATGATCATCTGACTCTGAGAATCACCAGCTGATTTCTTGGTGCATCTCTAATAATTATTTCACCAAACGCGAAGCAGGTGGTTAGCAGCTCTCAGAGGTGAGAAATGTTCTCAAACTGTTTATTCCTACTATTGACCTCATGATAAACTAGTGAAACACTAAGGTATTTAAGTTAATTTTTTCTGCCTTGGAAACTGGAACCAAAAAATATTTCATCCTTTTACAGACAAATCTCTGAAACGACTCAGAGATTCTGAGCTCCTCAACCACTGACTCACTCGATGACACACCAGGAATGTGTTTGTGTGCTGGCAACAGGTGAAGGTCACTTTGCCTGGGAGAGTTGGTCCTTTAGTACCTTGCCTGGTCTCTACCGACTACAGCCACTCTGAGATATAAAGAGAACAGGAGAGAGCAGCAAATCTGGGCCATGAAAGGTCAATCGATCAAACTTTAATTACGACGTCATCGTCTTCGTCCCGTAGCTCATCAACTGGTCCGTTTGCTAAATCTCCTCTTCTTCCCACAGAGCCCACTTCCTCTGCTTCCTCAGCGATGGCTCCACAAGGGCCCACGATGTACCTGTAGTCCCCTCCGATGGCCAGCGCAGCCCCAGAGCCCACCATGAGCCAGTCCTTCTCCTCGTCCTCTGCCTGGCGCTGCCAGGGGACGCTCCAGTTGGAACCCTCCGATGTGGCCTCCGGTCCCAGGATCCGGGCCCCCACAGCTCCTTCCTCTCTGTCCGTCTCGCTGTTGTCCCCTTCCAGGTTGACGTAGAGCAAAGGCTCCTTCAGAGGAGTGGCAGGGGACAAGGACAGGTGCAGAGTCTCCAACTGAACGACCAGCTGCAGGAAACTGGGACGGCATTTGGGGACTGGGCTCCAGCATCTGTGCATGATCTCATAACTAGCAGACAGAAGAAAAAAAAAACTGCAAACATTCAGAAAATACATTAAAAAGGTCACTGTAAAAGCATCTTGAAGCATTAAAGCCGCAGTAAGTAACTTTTATGAAATATATATTTTTCACATATTTGTTAAAACTGTCGCCATATTGCGACATGGTATGGTATGAGACAGATAATATGTGAACAGATCGATCTCGACCTCCTCTATGAGCTTCTATTACCATCTGAGGAAATTCTGCACTCCCAGTCAGAAACAACCAATCAGAGCCAGGAGGAGGGGCTTAGCGCTTTCAATCAACCTCATGTACTCCCTGCTTATCGTGCTAATGGCAGAGAAACAACTTACCGTTACAGGAAAACTATTTACACACCATCATTGGTGGCCATGCTAGCTAGGGTTAGCATTCACCACAGGCCATGCTAGATGAAGGGTAGCAGAGAGAAAGGGAGAGGGAGGGAATCAGTTGCGCCACATGGAGGGTGATTGACAGCGCTCAGATCCTTCTTCTGACTGTGATTGGTTGTTTCTAGGCAGAAGGGAGAGGAGCTGCATTTATTCACAGATCATCCGTCTAATACCAACAAACATGTAAAAAAAAGGTGGTGGAATGCGACAAAAATATTCATCTGCAACACTGTACATGATATGTCATAAACTTAAATACTCTCAACGTATGTTGGTGTGTAAAGACCCACATGTCCTCTCTGCAGTCTGCAGGTTTCTTCAGACGCTCTCCTTTGATCAGAAACTCATAGATCTCAGAGTTTTCCACTCCAGGATAAGGAGTCTGACCCCGGGTCATGATCTCCCACATTGTCACACCAAACGCCCACTGAAACAAATACAGTTAAATAAATACATCTGCATAAAACCACAACTAATCCCCAGGTTAATAAGTTAGCCTTTTGTGTTGTGTTGATAGCAATGTGTGTGTATGTGTGTGTGAGTACCACATCGCTCTGAGTGGTGTACACATTGTCTGCCAAGCTCTCTAGTGCGATCCACTTGACAGGCAGTTTGGAAACAGAACCCTGACGATAATAATCTCCACTATAGATCTTCTTAGAGAGCCCGAAGTCTGCCACACACACAGACATGTTCTCGTTCAACCTGTAACACACACAAACACACACACATGCAGTCATATTTTCATGACTTGTGGGGACTTTACATCGACTTCCATTCATTTTCTACAGCCTAACCCCAACCCTAACCATCATAGCCCGAAGCCCCAACCCCAAAAAAGCAATTCCCCTCATGGGAACCAACAAATGTCCCCACAAAAAGCAGCGGTCCCCACAATGTAGACAGAAATAGGTCCCCACAAGAATATAAAAACCTGGTTCACACACACACACACACACACTACAAAGTACTTCTGTTCATTTTTCCCCCGTTTTTTAAGTTGTCCTGGCTGGCTCGCCACATTTTTTTAACTCAATGAATGAGGAGCTAATTAAAGTTATGTCAGAATGACTACATATCAAATGGACTCCATTTCAAATTAGGTCATTAATTGTGCCAAATTAATGACCTAATTAATATTGCAATTGCTTAAGCCACGACAGCAGCAACACCAAATTTAATCCAAGGAAGAAAGAAAAAAAAGTAGTCCTGCTTTTCTTTTACTTCTCCACCTCTCCACAGATGAAAGATGGAGTGCTACACTGCTTTTTAACTTTAGTCCATTTTTAAGGTGATAAAGATCATAAAACCTTTTAGGTCCAACTGAGACCAGCATTTTCTACTGGAGTAGGCAAATGTCAGCTAAAGCTCAGAAAAGTGTTCAGACTGACATGCAGTTTCGGGCGGCCAGGTCTCTGTGGATGATGCTCTTGCTGCTCAGATACTCCATCCCCCGAGCGATGTCCAGCATGAACTGCACCAGTGTCTGGAGAGAGAGGTCCTAAAGCAGAGACAGTATGTTGTCAGGAGTTTATCAGGCATCAGGTTCAAGCATGAAATTATTCATAACCCATTGCTTACAAATGGCTCATCCCCCAAACGGGACAACAGCAGGAAGGTGTGCAGATCCCCGTGCTTCATAAATGGCAGGACCACCATTGGGATCGGCAGCCGCTGGCCAGGACGCCGGTGCAGACTCACTCCTGTTGCACAGAACAGACTGTGAACTGGGTTTTCTGACACCTTGTTGAAGCATTCAGTGTGTTTTGCTGGTGTGCTACCAATGAGCTTGATGACATTAGGATGGTGGAAGTCCCTCATATATGCAGCCTCCTTTAGACACTGTTCAATGTCACCTGAAGAGGTGATGTCAGCTGCACAAGAAAACACACGATTACATGCAGCAACGTTTTGACCCCCCACTTCTTGACATGTCACAAACACTCTGGCCAGCATGATTGTTGAAGTTTGGAAGAAAGTAGATAATGAAAGGATGGGAAAGCCTCACTCGAATGTAAGTAGAAAATTTCCTGAGTTTTTGCCTAATATATTTGGTGGCACTTTGGCCAAGTTAGTTCAACACATCCTCCATTTGGAAAACACTTCCACATTCCCCACTCACCGCAAAGGACTCTGTCTGTCTGTCTTTAAATACCAGCTGAAAATTCTGCTATTCAAACAAGCATTTCCACTTGGATTAATCAATACTCTCTTTCTTATGTTCTTTTTTTCTATTTGGGAAAATAGGAGATAGAAATCCCATAATGACTTACATTTCAGCACTTTGACAGCCACCTTCTGCATCGATGAGTCATCAGTCTTCAGAATGGCTTCACGCACTGAACCAAACTCACCTGCAAAGGTTAACATACACACATCAACATCCAGCTTCTGTATCACGTCATTCCACAACAGAATTTCTATTTTGTCAAAGGATTCCTTGTTAATGTTTTTTTTTTTTTTTACTGGTCTTAGAACTAATATATTTAAACGTATTTGTTGAATCTGATATTTTTAGAACACAAATTCTTTTTAGACTTTTTCGGATTCAATAGTTTTTTTCATGTTTGGACTACTTATATTAACTTGCAGTCACTAGATGGCAGCAGTGCTCAAATTAATCAACAGTCTACCTGTTGAACACAGTAGAAGAAGTAGCCTACACAGACAGAGTACACAGTTGACAGGAGAAGTTTGTGACAGTAAAAATCTTTTTAAAAAATAAAAAAAATGGCAGCAGAGGCTAGAAATGCAAATATAACGGAGTATTAGGGCAAGAAGACTAAGATATTTTATTTCTTACTTGCAAATATCAAGGTCATAATGTTAGCAGAATAAAGATGAAACGATTCTGGTGTTTTTTTTTCTTCTTAATTTTCAGGTCATTTTCATGTTACTTTACCAAACCAAATATTGAGTCGGGTTCTTACTGACTGGTTTATGTGGCAGCGTTACCTTTTCCCAGCATGTGGCCCAGAGTAAGAAGTCTCTCTGAAATCAACACATCCTGCAGCTTGTTCTTCAGCTCACTGCTGATGCAGAGACTGTCCACTGAAGGAAGGAAGACACAGTCAAAGGTTATTAAAGCCTGTAATTATCCACTCAGTTTATAAAGTGATACTTTTCAACTTATCACCTGCTAAGCAGAGGAGAGAAAGAAGGACTAAGATATTATAAATGAGTAATTGTCATATTGCTTCAACTTTAGCCTGATGACAGACGTAGAGTGCTGGAAGAAAATATTCACCTCTTACAGAATTAATCTGGTTTTAGTTGGGGTTTTTTGCCACATGTAAAGGTCAAGAAAAATTTTATATCAGACAAAGATAACCTGAGTAAATACAAAAAGAGGTTTCCAAAAGATGAAAGAAGCCTACCTGGCTTTATATCAAAAAGTCTTCACCTTCCTTGTTTAATCATGAATAATGTGCAATTAACCACTTTTCTTTTCATCTCATTGCTCCTAAAACTGCAGAATCACAGCTCTGAGCAGAAGAAGTGCTGTAGGAAACCGTTCACTCACAGGTGGACTCGTGCAGATCAGCCACGTTTCTGCTGAACGACCGAGCTGCAGTGAAGAACACCGAACTCTCTGGACCAGGAGCTTTAAAGGCCGAACTGCAAACAGACACAACGCAAAAACGAGATCAGCTCTCTTCCTCTGTGTGTTCAGATTCAAACAAGACATCTCACTCACTCACACAAACACACACCAGGCATCATACCCAAACTTTGTTTCCTTCTCTCTGCGCTGAGCTGCGATAGTGAGCAGCAGCCCAACGATGGTGGCCACCAGCAGGCCGAGCAGCAGCCCCACCCACATGCGGCTCCGCTGCACCTGGACAGGAGCTGACAGCAGACATCAGTCCAGTTTAACAGAATGGAACAGAATAATCCTTCACAATAACAACTAAAATCTACTCTCTTAAATAACCAAAAATCCAACAGGAAATCATATAAGGAAGGTTATTATACTTAACTAATGAAATTACAAAAACGATACTTAATGGGGAGGGAGGGAAGCTATAACTAACTGGAACTATATTGTGTGTTTATAAAACTAAAAAAATAAAAGAAAATGTAAATATAAAATCCTTTGTTTTTGTGTTTATGAATCTATTTTTTCGCATTTCAAACTGATGTAAAATAATAATTCCCCCCCACACAAGCAGTTTGCATCAGCTGTCAGCAAATTATGTTACTCCATATGTTACGTTAGTCCACAAAATAGTAACAGTAAAAGTTGGGAGAAAACACCAGAGTCAGCTGGTTGTTTAACAATAACTGAAAACATTTTTTGAAAATAGTTTCATCTGTTTAGTGTTCATTACCCAATCAATGTATACATGATCACAGTACAGTACTTTGATCTTTTTAAATTTCCACCTAAAAAATAACCAGTGTATGAAAAAATTAAATCAAGTATGTACTATAGATAACACAACTAAACAAGAACTATAACATTATTTCACTAATAAAAAGCAGCAAACATACTTTAAAAACTAACCGAATCAGACAAACTGAACTGTACTGAGAAAAACAAAAAAAAATGATCCTGATAGGAAGCAAACATCTGTTTAACAGGAGGCCATTCTGCTGCCTGAGAGGAAGCATTCATCAGATAAACCAGACCAACCCCCTGACAGGCTACCTGAGGCAGGCATCACCAGCACCGAGGGGCTCCAGGGTCCACAGCCAACCGCGGTGCAGGCTGCCACCTGGATGGAGGCGTTGAAGAAACGGGCTGCGTCTAACGTCGGAGTAGAGTTCTCCTTAAACAGCAGAGGTTCCTGGAAACACATAGTTGGAGGAATGAGGAACTGTAGCTGGTTCTGGGACCGCTAGGACAGAACAGAACCCTGACCCCCATCAGACCCTGACTGCTGTCCAGGCCATGCAGGTTGATGGCACCGACAGAGAGCTGCTGGTTGAATCTGTCCTGATTGCTCTACATAACATCCTCTCTGATCTGCTTACACATCACACCTGGCTTATTACGGATTAACTAAACAGCTTTAACAGCAGCAAACACAAACACATTCAGTGAAATCAGATTAAGAAGTAAAAATGCTAACACTTTATCTGAGGGGTGTGCATAAGACTGACATGACACTGTCATAAACATGACATAACATCTGTTGTGATTTTGAAGGTGTCTTTATGAATGTTTATGGTTGTTGTCATGAAGTGTCATTCGGTAAATAATGACACTTTTAATGCAAAGATGACTCTTTTAATTGACTTATGCACTGCCAGTGCATAAGACTTTCAGTGTAATGCCACCACACTCCTTCAAATGAAGAGTTAATGTAAAAACTCCCCAGTAGGACCTGCTGCAGTGATTAACAGAAAGTAAAAACAGTTTACAATTAATAAACAAAACTCTGACTCAGGATCAGTGGGTACATCTAATAAATCAGGACGTGACGAGATATCTTCATCAGTTGGAGCAACATTCTCTCCAGCCTCATGGAAACACTGGCAACAAGAATGCTCATTACGGACACACACACACATATCACTCAAAATTTTCATCAAATCAGATTCATCTTTCAGATTAGTAAAACAAAAAAGGGTGAAAAACCCTGACTGACTGTATAACTTTTATATTCCTCATAGTGCAGCTCTAAATGTTGAAGAAATGTTGAAAACAAACCATGAGGAGGTGGAATCATGGATGGTGTGCTGTGCTATGACGGAGCGTTCACCTGAGGTTCTCCTCCATGAGTCCACTGCAGCTTGTAGGCCAGCAGTTTCCCCTGCAGCTCATCCTCCTTCAGCCTGGCCCATTGCAGAGACAGATTCTGCCCTGACAGCTCAAAGCTCAGGTTCCTGGGGGCCACAGAGGGCACTGCAGACAGGGCCACACAGTTCAGTCAGCACCAGCTCCATTTCTTCTTTAACATCTTTACAATTTCAGCTGCCATGTTGGCGGAACAATCCAAAGCTGAAAGTGGGTCACTTCAGGTCAATTCTGGCTGGACACGGTATTCTGGATTTTTCCAATTTTATAAATCACATTTTTTTAAAAAAATCTGACTCTTTAAATGTTTAAATAAAATGGACTTGCACCTGAACCATTAAACAACTGTATACAGAGATTGCAAGGAAACAGCAGAGCTACCAGAACGACTTCAAACGGCAACTGTAGAAGCAGTTTTGCTAAAAAAAAAACTAACTAACTCACTCACTCACTCACTCACTCACTCACTCACTCACTCACTCACTCACTCACTCACTCACTCATATATATCAATATGTGCAAAAAAAACAAACTAAACTCTGACCAGGTCATCCAGAACCTAATGTTTCTTTTTTATTGTCATGTTTTTAATTTATTTCCTTTATGTGCATAATTTTGATAACATTGGGACTGTATAAATTTTGCTGGGCAATAAGTTCTCCCACAAGTTATTGCGATAAAGGATTATATGGTTATGAGTCCATGTTGCTTGTTGCAACAGGCCTACATGTCGTCACCGTCATTTTTTGCCAAAAGTGATTTGTTTTTTCCTAAATAATCTTTTGGCAAAAATAGAAATGGTCTTTTTTGTTTTTAGGAAGATGATGATATACTGTCAATATCATGTTTTATTATTTTACTTCCTAATAGTTTTTAGATATACTGTTTAGAAAAGCCTGTATAGAAACAAGCCTCTACACTATAAGCACCATGATCCAGGCATGGGAGTGCTGCTTTGTTCAGTCTGTCTATGTTATTGAGTGTCTGTCTCTATCAAACGCTCCTAATAATAAATAACATGTTGGTCCATATTCCTGCAGGTAGCGCTAAAATCACTTTAGCCGGCCCTTATAAATGGATTGAGGCCACAAACAAAAGATCATTGTACAGAGAGGACTGGAATCCACTGGAGTAGGTCCAGCTGGACCAGTGCGCGCGCACGCACACACACGCACACACACACACACACACACACACACACACACACACACACACACACACACACACACA